GCCCGGCCGGGTCGCGCGGTCGGGGGCGGTTGGCCGCGGAGGGGCGGGGCCGGAGTTTCTCCTCAGCGGCCCGCACTTTCCGGAGCAGGATGTGGGCCGGCCCGGTGACGTCATGGGGTCTCCCAGCCCCGCCCCTCGCCCTGGCCGGCGGGGGGCGGGGGAGGCACCGGGCGGGAGGGGAGGATGGGGGACCCCAAGGGGGTTTCCTCAGCAACGCGGAGAGGGAAGGGCAAAATCAGGGTGAAACTTGAAACTCATTAACTTTGAAAAACAACTTTGCAAAACCTGGAGGGGTGGGGGCGGGGCGGCGACCGGGAGGGGAGAGGGGGACGGGTTCTAAACCCTGAACTGAAGCCACTTCTGCGTGGTGGCGGACGTTCTGAAAGCGCCGGGAAAGCCGAGGCCACTCCAGAGGCCGCGCCACGGCCCGCGGGTGCTTCCCAGGGCCGGAGCTGCGCGCGCAGTCACCCCCGCCGCCCGCGGGACAGTCGGCGGACCCGCGAGGGGACTGCGGCACAGGGAAAAGGGAAGAGGGAGTCCCTGCTCCGGACAGAGTTTGACCCTGGCTGCTGGAAAGCAGTACCGGAAGAGCGAGTGGAGGTCTATGGAAAAGACGTCGACCGGGTTGAGGAAGGTGCTTTTCGAGATTACACCTCAAGAACGGTAGCAGTTGGGGTTCGCAGTGTCCACACGCACACCTAAAAAAGCAGGCAAAAATCACTGGTTGAATGGGCCGTTTGCAACTTGAGGGTGGGGAAAGATAAGGTGAAACAAAAATTTTGATGGAAAAAATGAAAAATTTTATAAAACCAAAGTGTTTTCGCCTTTTAAGGAATAAAAATGCTAAACGCCCACTGAGACAGCTGGCCATCTGTGCAAACTTGTAGTGTTTGGTTCCCCTGGGCTTCCACAAAGACGGCTAGGTCTTTCCTGCTAGGGTTGACCCCAAAATTCCCCTGAGGAAATCCTACCGCTGGCTCTCTTGAGCTAAGAAAAACTCAAAGCCCCAGAAAGGGAATGATTAAAAATGGAATACGCAGGAATGGCGGGTTTGAAGCCAAAAATAATGTCATACGAAAGGGAAAATATGCCTACCAAAAAGTCAGTTCGTTTATAGGAGCCAAGTTCATCCAGCAGCAAATTTAACCTTTCAATGAAATAATGCAACTTTCAATTTTCAGTATGATATAATCATCTCTTAGGAAATGAAATGATAGGGTTGCAATCACAAAAAGCAATGTAACTCCCTAACTGGATTGTTTGAATCAAGAAAATAAACATTCAATTAAATATGAAAGTATAATCATCTACTCGGAGGAAGCTACCTTAGCAATAAACTTGAGTTTGTGTCACCTAGGAAGTCAAACACGCTAACTGCATGAATCCTTTTTCACACTAAAGCTGAGCGCAACAGAAACGACAGAACACAATGTTTATTTCGGATCTAGCGTTCTGTGGACTTTGTGACCAAGTACACCAGCAATTTTGCAGTATAATTAATTTTGTCATTCCAATTCGCTCTCTGGAGCAACAAATCGATATTAAACTTTTCTTTCAACTCTGTACAACACCGAAAACTCTTCTAGTAAAGTTTCTGAGCTCCCTAAGTGCGCTTTCTTTGCCTGTGATTCCGACTTGCCAGATACCGGAATGCAAGGAAGACGCTGCTAGGTTATAAAGGAGCTTGTGTGGGCTTGTTTGGGGCAAATTCAACATAGGTTCTCAGCCTACGTCAAATGAACGGAACGGGGTGGGGTGGATGGTGGAGCCGCAGGAACGCTGCGCAGGGGAAGGTGCAGCGCGAGCTGTCAGACGTCCCGGCACGAGGACGGAGCGGGTGACCACGCTCTGCCAGACGGGGAGGCTCCAGGCCACCTCGCCCACCGTGCAGCGCGACGCCGGCGTCCCGGGGGGCGTGGATTAAAGGCCAGGTCGTCGCCAGGCTCTAACGCGCCGTCCTCGCCGAGCAGTTTGGGGAGCGCCCACGGCCCCGCGGCCCGCGCCCCCACCCAGGCTCCCACGCGGCGCCGGGCTGCCCTTCGCCCGGCCGGCACCGCGATCTCGGCCACCAGCGCCACGCGCAGGCCGCCGCGGGGTCACGGTCACGGCGCCCGGCCCTCGGTGCTCGCCGGGCTTTCCCGTGCACCAGCCGGATCCTCTCCCCTGCCCCTCCTCTCCGCTCCCCTCCCGTCCTCCACCCCTCCCCCTCCTTCTCGGGGCGACCCGGGGACAAAACCTTGCCGGCACGCGCTGCCAACTCTGCCCCACACCCGGGATCTTCCCGAGCCAGGTGCCAGACAAAGAACCGAGAGGGAGGGGGAGAAAACTCACCCAACTGCAACGCCAAAGTCAGATCCATCGCTTCCTGGGTTTTAACTTTTAATTTTAAAAACAACAAAAGCAGAAACCAAAAGCCTCCTAGGTTGGAAGTGGGCGTGAGAGGAAATGCTAGGGGGAGGCGCTTCATTCCCTCGGCTGCTTCCCCCCCCACCCCATGCCTGGGGCTTTGATGTTATCTGTGCACAGCCTGCCTAGGTTTAAACCTCGGGCTCCGAGCCCGCCCGGAGTGACACACCGAGGTCCCCGCTTAGCTAAGAGCCAGGAAAGCCCGCTTAGCTAAGAGCCAGGTCGCCAGGGCAAAGATACCCACTCCTAACCCCGCAGTGAACAAGTGACATTTGCACCCCCCTTTCTTACCTGGTCTAAAAGGTGAGATACACCTGTCAGTGATCTTGAAGAGTTCCCTCAAGTTTTCCTTAGACACATGGAAGGGGGCCTCGAAAATTAGAGTCATCGCCATTCATAGTACAAACTTATAAGACCTTGTTAGTGGATTTTTTCTGAAGCTCGGGTCGGTTTTGTAAGTAAATGGTCTTTGCTGCTTGAGAAGAGACAAGCATGTACCTCTGAAGACAATAAACTCTTTTATAACGCATTAACATGCACCCACACACCTTTCTGCTCACGTTATGGGAGGCTTGTAATTGTAGGTTTTACCTTTTTTATTTTGGCACGAGGACAAGCGGGTTATATATTTTATATTAAGTTACCAGTCTCGGGACCATCACTAACGAAGTGTTAATGAAAGATGCTTGAAACAAAACCAAAAACAAAACAAAAACAGGTTAGTAATAAAATAAAAAGGATGGCACTGTCTCCTATTCATCCTTGCCCGGAACACCCATTTTACAACACCAGCCCGTGTTCAGGCCTTGCCCTCTGGGAGTTTACAAATTAATGGAGACAGGATAAACACAGGGAAAAAAACACCCAGAGGGAAAAAGATACACAGAGAAGCTTATAAATAGAGCCAATTAAGGTTATACGGAGTTATTTACATGATTGCTGAAAGGTTTCTGGTTGGGTGGAGGACAGGAATATCAGAGAAAGTTCCATCCTGAGGGTGAATCCACAGTGGGATTTGGAAGCAAAGTTCCAGACTTGGCAGGGGTCTCAGAACAAGGAGAGAGATTGAAGGTGAGAACAAGCCAGCTGTGTGTGTCAGCTTTTCTGCCTAGAGCAGAAAATCCGAGCAAACAGGACACCAGGACACTTTTGAGGGTAAAAGGGAAGCTTTTAACAGTGCTGAGACATACACCTGGAAAGTGAGGAAAGGTGGGTTCTCAAGCAGAAATGAGCTCTGCAGACAGAGCAGGCCCAGTCACCTTTGTTAGAGATGAAAACATGCTACCACCACTGGTAGCCATTTTGACTTGGGCCAATCATGTTCTCTTTACAGAAAGTCATTGTCCCTGGTGGATTTAGGATGGACTCAGAAGCTGGCTGCACACTGCAGTAGGACCTGTACTAATGGTGGTAGTAACACCAGTGGTCATGGCAATCAACAACTGACTGCGCCCTACTTTGTAATCTGACATAGTCCTCACCGTACGCCCCGACATACAGGAAGGAACAGAGACTAAAATTATCTAGCATTTCTAAAACGCTAAGCAATATGCTAGAATTCACAGAGCTTGTAAGTGGTAGATCTATGATTGAAATCTAGAGGATAGCCAGGTCCTTAAAGCTGAGGGCTTACGTTTTGTGAAAGACAGGGTGCAATTTATTATATGCCACATGTGTGGAGCAAAGAAGAAAAATTTTTTTAAAAAGCCTGCAGTTTTAAGTTTTGAGAACCTGGTAACTGTCACGAAAATGGAGATGTTGGGAAATTTTGATGCTTAAGGGGAAGAGGAGAAAATGCATTTGAGTTTAACTATGCTTAGTTTTAAGAAGGGCGATTTAATTTACATCTATGCCGACGTGAATGGTGTTAATCTTACAGGATACTATTAAAGAGAGCCCGGTCTCCATCTTATCACTTAGTTCAATGGCGAGGATGAGGGTTTAGCGGGTTTCATTTGACACACTACCTGTTAAGCGCTGGACAGAAGATTCGATGTGACTGACCAAGGGATACTTGCAGTTTGCCAAAGAACTCCTGGTATGCAATATCCACAAGTGGTATCCTGCAGAACACTGGGAAGGGTCAAACAGCATTCTACAAAGATAACCCAAATGTACTCCTGATCTACTGATATTGTAATAAGTGGCATCTCCTCTTAAAAGGGCGCTAATCCTCTGGGATCAGGGCACTACCTTATGATCTCATTTAAAGTTTTTTTTTTTTTTTTAACTACTGGTGGTTGAACTCAGGGCCTCGTACATGCTAGCCACATGTTCTACCACTGCCCTACAACCCCAAATCTTTTTACTTTATTTTTGAGACAGAATTTCACCAAATTACTCAGTCTAGCCTCAAATCTGGGATTCTCCTGCATCAGCCTCCAGGGTAGCTGAGGTTGCTGATTACAGATATGCACACCCACGCTTGGGGACTTAACTACTCTATAAAACACTTACTTCCAGATACAGTCAATTTGCGGGTTAAGGGTCGGGGCTTCGCTTATGCACAGAGGGTCAGGACATGCTTCAGTCTCTAGCAGACACCAGGAGTCTTCCTACATGGAATTGAGGATAGATTCAACATCAGTCTAGAAATCAAGCTTGTTTAATGCTTGGAAAAACCAAAAGGGATTCATTCTATTCTCTTTCATTTCCAGGAAGAATTCTGCCTGAACAACTTTTCAAATATTTTGTGCTCTGCTTTTCTAGTAAAAGTTCTCAAATCTCCTATGAAAAGTCATCTTTGGCATGTAGAGCTACTGTGCTGTGAATAAAGCCAGAGCTTGAGTAGGAATAATAAATAAAGCAGAGCTTGACTAGGGAACTCCCTGTCCATCCTCTACCTCTCACTCTCCCTTGTTCCCAAACCCTTTTCCTGTTATTCCCTCCCAGATTCTCACCAAGGACTGCATTTGCCTTTTGATTCCTCTTAATATTTATTACTACATCAAAAAGAAGATTCTCCTCTGCAGGCATTGTGATGGAGATTTTATGACTTAAGTATTTGTGTAAACAAAGAAAAGGCATATATGAGTATAAAATTTTTAAAAGCACAGCAGAGTAAGGGTTAAAAAGTGTTTTATAAGAAAGTTATGTACAGTGATCCTGGGTAATTCAACCTACATTCCTTACCTTTGCTTTCTGGGTTGTTATAATTGTTGAATTAAAGAGTGTTAAGAGCAAGCACATTCTTAGGAATGGAGAGGAAAAAACAAGTACTCAGAAATATTCCTACTGCCCTGAAGAGAATACACCCATTGGTTAGTCTCCCATGCTAACAACCCTTGTTTCCTCAAGGCTCACCAAATCCCAAACTTACCAGTTTCCAGCTCTGTAAATAAATTGTGAGGCTCTTAGAAACTTTCCCCGGGTGCCTGCTCATTGATTCAAATTTTGCTACTGAATTGTTTCTGGTAAAAGACTCAAATCATCAGTTTTTCCCTTCCCTAAATTCTCTGTTGTACTGTTCTGTACTATTTTGTCTAATTTTCTGTTCATATGCACGTGTGATTATAAACTTTGAATGTAAATTTTGAGTCGATTGACAATTATTTTGTGGTAGTTCCTGTTATGCCAAAATGTCAATGGGGATCAATTTAAAGGAACCCAAGACCCTACAGTCAAAGTCCCAACTTGGAAAAAGTTGAGACAGAGCAACAGACAAAAGAGAATTCACAGAAGCTAAGGAAAATAAGCATCATATTGATTCACAAGTAAGAAAAATTAGCAAGCACATGGAAGATAAGGATCAGTCACTAATAACAGCAATAATAGCTCATGGTAAGCTTTAACATGTTTCAAATGCTTTTGAATTTTCAGCTATTTTAATTTCTGCAGGAAGGTGTGGAGCTTGATTTATGGTAGATGACTGAAAATGGAACAAGGGTTCTAATAAGGCATCTGAGTGAGGCTCTGGTGTGTTTGTGCATGCATGCGCACGTGTCTGGTGCCTATCAGCTAGCCAGATGGCTGTCTAACCTAAAGACGGTCAGATATTATTTGTAAGATTGGTTTTTGCTATTAATGGATTCCACACATGAGAGTTGGCAATTATAAAAAATATTGATGCAAGCAGGAAATCCTGACACCGTCAGGGTATGTAGTGCTCAGAGCAAGAGTAACAGGACACACACATTTGTCTTCTGCTTGCGACTCCTACAGCTGTCATTCCCAACTGCTGTGGAACCTTCTGGTTACAAAATTCCATCTCTTACATAGTAACAAGAGAGTCAAAACAGTTCCCCTCCTGAGCTCTGGTCAGATCAGTTTCGTAACCATGTTCTCTTACAAAGTTGCAGAGTCCAACCCCCTCCCTGTAACAAAATAAAGTGAATTCCAGAAAAGTAAATCAGACGTTGTCTAACTGTAGCTTTTTGTTCCATTTGTATACTTTTTAGAGCACAGTTTTCTTTTACTTGATTTGGAGAAGAGTGGTTAGCTATTGAATTTTCTTCCACAATCTTTCTCTGCTGTCTCAGTAGCCATTCCTTTTGGTTACATAGTCTTCTGAGAAACTGATGACTCTGTATCCATCTTGACACAATTAAAACAAACACATATAATTTTCATTCAAGTCTCTAATGAAATTTCTTCTTAAGAAATCTCCTATTTGCTCATTTTAAAAAAGGCTTATTCCAAACCAATTACTATTCAAAAAAGTTTCCATACATAAGTTATTTTATGACAGTGGCCCATGATTCATTTCCCAAAAGGCCGAGCTACCATCCTACCGTAAATCACAACAAAATATTTGTGTCTCCTCTCACAAATTCAAAAAAAACCAGAGTAAGATTGGTGGTATTTAAATGAGAAATTCTGAGATGCTGCAGAAATATTAGCAGATGTTGAATAGTATGGATTTCCTGCTATTAAAATCTCCTTGAAGCTTGCTTATTTTCCAGTAATTTAAAAATATGGCACTATTGAGCAATTGTAATGCAGTATCAACCAGTTAGATAGTAGTTAACTCAAAAAAAATCATTCTGCTAGGTTAGACTAAAGGTCCAAGAAAGCAAGAAAGC